CCCATTTGCTTAAAATTTAAAATATTGAATACAATTTTTTATGYATATAATATATACAGGGTGATTCACCAAACATGTACACCGCTTTTTTTCCTTTAATAATGAAGTTATTCAAAATCTGAATTTCAGAATCAAGATTAATGTTAATGACTAATATTTTCAAATCCACCATAGATCATATATCWTATAATCCTAAACCATATCTAATCTAACCTAACCGCACTACTACCAACTACATCGTCGATTATTGATTGGCGGCGARCAGTGGTCACGGTTGAAACTAGTAACTGATAAAGTGGGTAATAACTTACAATCAATATGTTGTTGTAGATACTATTTTTAGAATAATCATAACTAAACATTGGACTTTTTCAATGCTATAGTGTATTTGTGTGTGGTACTGTAATAATTACTATTTTACTGGTATTTTATTATAAACAAATCGTAGAATTATAATTATTATAATATACTTATTGCACTATTGCAGAGTAAGTTACTCGCGGTTACTCATTAGCCATTTGTCTTAATAGATTAGTGTGAGATACTGAGATCAGTGTTACATGCTATAATCCTTAGTTCTTACATATTACATACTACACATACTACACATACTACACTTAAAACAGACGTTTAGTGTTGCTGTTTAATTTTTTTCAATGGGCAATCTCAACAAATTACATAAAAGCGGAAGTGCTAAAAGAAAAAAAAATAGAAAAATTTGATAAGAAAGGAAAGTCAAAATCCTATAAGTAAAAATTTGAATTTTATAATTTTAATAAATTGTAACATTTTTTATAAAGGCTACTGATATGCTTATAAAACCTGGAAGTATTAATGTTACAAGCTTTTGGTAATTCGATCGTCATCAACTAAAAACAAACATTGCATTCAGATCTTCAAGATAACATTGGTATCTTTTAAGAAAACTATCCGTTCATCAGCGAGTTAGTCCCAAAACGATATAGAATACTGTAACTCTGGCTGGCTTTTTGTGTGCATAGTAAATTATAATTTTATAATATTTATGAACGATGCACACATTTAAATTTATAATAATCATGTAAATTGTTTTATTTCTTCAACTTTTTTMAATATCTGCAATAAATGTATTAAATATGTTTAGTAAAATATTTTCAAACTGTTTGGGAACCTATATAAAACTTACACAACTTCCCTTTCGGCCGATTCACTTTTCGACCAAATTTAATAGGTCGATCCACTTTTCGACTAAACTTAAAATAAATCGATTCCCTTTTTGAACAAAACAAACATTTATATAATAAATTTAAAATAACAAAATAATGATAATATACAATTTTTATTAATAATAATTAAGTATAATATTGATATAAAATAGGTCATTTTGAAAATTACATGATACAAAAAGTTCAACATTATGTATTTTAAGTCATATATCATCATCATACATATATATTATATAAGTGATAATTATTAAAACCTATATATAATTAATAATTATTGCCATTAATTATTTGATCAGTGGTCGTTGTGTTTGATTATGATGGATAATATATAGGTATAGGTATGTAGTATGTAACTGCAAGACCAATAGAGTCACTATCTTTTATAGCCAAGATAAAATATATCATTTTATATTTTTATAACATTTTATGCAACTTATAATTTTAATAATTTTCTATAAATATAACATAGAGTACCTATACAATATTGATTATTATTACTAATCTTTGCTATTATTTTACAACAATTATGTACCTATTATTTTTTTATATATATGTATATATATATATATAATATTATACATATTGTGACGTCATACTCGTATTAACACAATAAATAATATTAATATAATATAGATATTCTTATATTTTAAATATTTGGCCCTGATGCCTTAAAAAATTCTAATCTGKGCTTATCCATATACCTAATAAGTCAGTAATAATTATTAATAGTTAAATATTAAATAGGTATTATAAACAGTAACTATAAAACAGTATATATAATATTAATTATAACGTTTTGTGTTCGTAGTATAGGTAACAAATAATATAATACATAGTATCGTAGAAGGTTACCTATACGGATATCTACAGACAATTTATGTATCGTTCGGAGTATTGAATACTTTTTATAATATTTTACGTTATTGGATGAATATAGGTATATACTAAACTATATTAAATATATTAAGTTATTAATTATTAAATTAATAGTTGATACCCCAATTATTTCCCTCTTATATACTAGGGCAGTAGGGCCTTGAGGATATGTAATGTTCATGAAGTGGTAAACTATTATAATAAAATGTGTAACTGACACAGTCAAATTATAAAAATACCTGTAAACATATTTATGATTGCATAAAATATATTTTTACATTCTACAATAGTCAATAATATCTGTAGATATTTTGGTATTTTTAATATTTTATGTTTATTAATTAGATTTAAAAATAAATTAATGTTTTGTAAGAAGTATAATATAATTACTTTAGGTCTTAATTTATACTATTAAAATTACGAAATATTATGTTCTCATAAATATATGAGTTTGTGCACCAAAAATGACGTAATTATTTTACTGRAATATGATGTAAATTCATATTCTCCTCCAATATCGGAAGAACTTTCTCAATACTTAATTAGAAGTGTATATGAGTGAGTTATGCAAAAAAAAATTTCAAGTGGTTAAATTAAACCAATTTATATAACTTTATATGATACTGGCATACTGTACCAAAATGTAAAAATGTCAACTCTTAAATTTTGTTTTTTTTTCTTATATTTTTTGATAATTAAAGCCAATAATCATTGTTGTCGTGACCTATTCAAATAAAAAAATAAAAAKTTATATGAATATTTCCGTTTGAATATTGTTCATCGAGGTCAAAGCAAAGATGAAAGAATTATAATTATTGTTTTGTACATAGATTTATTTTATAATAATACGAAAGGGATTAGTTTCTATATAATATACTTATTTAGATTGGGTATAGTATAAGACTATAAGTTGTATAGCTCCAACCTCTAAACTAATTAATTAATAATTTAAACATACCTATGTGTTTACTGTTTAGTTTACAAATGGGATGCATCCACAAATAAAATTATTTAGAATTAATTATAATTTATAATACACTATGGTCGCTCTAATTAGGCCAAACTGCAAACGCAACTTCTTATGACTCAACAGGATCTCTATGTTACATCTCTGCAAATATTTATTATTGCACAGACTGACATACTGCAGTCTACTAGGCACTAGCTAACTATTATGTGTACAATACTACGCATTTTGAAATATTTTTACAATACTGTATTTTACATTTGAATCAGTCGACACGAAGCATTTTTTGGAATGCTCACTTTTTCTTATAAGATCCTAATTCAATACATAAKAAAATAATATAATCTTTAGTAGTGGACTCGGTCAGTTGGTCTTGTGTAACGTATTAATATAACATGTTTTATACCTTATAACGATATTCTCAATGATGACGACGAATTCAGTGACCTAAGAGTAAAGCCATTCGATTGTGAGGCGAGTGGTGTAAGGGGAAGGGGTGTCGTGAATGACCCACTTTTACCAAACGGGGATTCAATACCGAATGTTTTTAAGGAGTTCAATATAGGCAATGCTTTAACTGTGTATATGTTACGGGCAAAGTATATCATTTGGGAATTTTATACATTGTCCGGACATTTTATACAATGCCCTCCGTATATTGGGCAATATAATAATATAAATAACGGATGAGATGGTTTAAAGAAATATGATAAATCGTAAAACATAGTTAAAATAAAGTCAAATTATTATACGTCACTAGTTTGTTTGTTCTTATGATATTTTTACAATGGGGATGTCCGCTTGCCCACATATTATACGCTTATACGTGACATATTATATTATAACTATATTTACTGATTTATAAGTTATATTATATATTTATATGTACATCAAAATGTCACGGAAGCAGTACATGCGACAATTAGTAATAATACAATTTTAAAAACTTATTACATTTTCTATTAATATTAAATATACATGTCATTATTCATTAAATCATCTCAACCGTTATTTATATTGCCCAATATACGAAGGRCATTATATTATAAAATGTYCGGCCAATGTATAAAATTCCCGAGCATTGTATAAAATGMCCAAATTGTATACTTTGCCTGTAACATATAAACCGTGTAAATATGTATGTATTATTGTTTCATATTTTGGTAAAAACCCAGCCTGGATCAAATCCCCTTTATAACTAAACAGTATTCTATACTATTATTTAAGGTGACATAATAATAATTATATTAGTTAATAMTAAAGAGAATATTAAAGTTCCCTATACGGCTATACGTTGTAGGTAGTATATTATATGCTTCGCCGTTGGTCGTGCATCTGCAGATTGCCCGTCTTAGGTATATTGAGCAAAAKGTTACATAGGTACCTATAATACCACTCTCGTGACCGGTCGTTGGCGGCGGCAACGGTGATGTAACGATACCATATTACTATGTATCTACCTATATAAAATGCATACAAGGCAGGTTACATATATTTCTATAAACTTCAGTGGGCATATAGGAACTATAATATTATTTTATTATGATAAGAATTACTTCATCCGTAACGCGATGATCGCCGCTGCCTAGTTCCTACTACACTTCCACATGTGCTAGCTAATACGCCAAAGAGGAGTTTTTCTTTCTTTCCTTCACTTATTATCCGATACAAACATAATACACTTTTTATAATTTATATTGTCACTGGCCGCCGAAAAAGACCTTCCACGCACCACTTGTAATAGCACACCTCTCACTCCACGCCAAGCGGGCACATTACACGCTATGGAATAATATGTCGTACTATGTACACACACACGCACACACCACACCATATACCCATCTCTCCGAATATGTTTACACCCACTCCGCTCGCGCTTACAGTGGTGTGTACGCGTTCCAAGAACTGGAGGAGGCGGTGGCGTTGTTCGAGGCCCACCGCGTATCGACTGCCCGGCAGTCTAGCGTCTGCAATCGAAATCCGACAACGAGTTGTGGCAGCCAACTGACACTTACACTCTGCCCACACGAGTCTACATTATCACAATATATCATATTGTTTCCACTATCGTAATATCATAGTTGTTCATAACATAACGTTACTACATTACTACTATCTTCGTATACTCACCCGTCGTCCTGCCGTTTCCYACTATCCTTTGGACGTCTCGGCGTACCGTACACGTTGACCGTACGTAGCGTGTGTGTGTGAGGTCATGTCCGCGGTCTGTCGTCTGCTGCACGTGTACGACGGCGGCGACGATTCGGTCGCCCGACATATTCTGCACCATCACCACTGCACCAACAGCAGCCGGCAGAACGTCAGCGGTGGCTCGTAGCAATCGACGGCACCAGCGCCGAGGATGGTGACGGCCCGTTGCACCCGCGGTCTCACCGCCGGAACCACTTCCGCTACCGACTGCAGGTAACTACACAACTAATATTGAAATATATTATGATTAATATTGAATGCGATGCGTTAACYTTACATAAGATTCAACAATTTACCGCGTTAGAATACGGCGTGTTCGGATTTTAAACATTTTTTTTCTTGAAAAATACCAGCCCGAACCACCGCCAACTGACGAAGAAAATGAATCCGGTATAACCACTGAAACAATTTATAAAATAAGTACTTTGTATTACCTACACGGCTCATCTAATTAATAGTCATTACCCATATGACTTATTGTGTCACATTATGTAGCAAGTACTTTTGATGAATCTGTGTCTGATTGCTGTGAATATTAGAACAACCAGTACCCTCGTGTATTGTTTGTATGACTTGTGCTGTATAGTGTCTCATCACGTTTTCTGTGTACTCTACCCGCCTCTTTCTAAACTTTAAGACTTGTATAGCTATTAGAATGCTTTAAAAAATTTCATTAGTGTATTGACTTTAAAAATATTTTTACAAATTGTATAATAATGGTTTCATAATTTTTAAAAAACAAGAAAACAATTTTTAATTTTGTTAATCATCAAATATCAAACGTTAAAACAATGACTGTTCCTCTGCCTTATGATAACTTGGACGACTTGGACATTTTACTTAGTGAAGTAGGTATCTCTTTGTACAATATTGTACACTCAAGTACTACGCACATTATTAGATATTTTTATACTCGCACAGTCGCACACATATCATATAAATAGATTAATCTCGTAAACACCTTCTTATAAATAATTTAACCCATGTGATCATTTTAAGCCATTACCAATCACAMAGGTGTATGTACCACACACCAGGTATGAAGAAAGATACTGCGCTTCTGGATCACCATAAACCATGTGTCCATTCTTTGCAAAGATTGTGCAATATATTATATTATTGAGTGATTGAGTGTGAATTAAACTGTGAATTGAAACCATGTGGCCGTATTGGTTTTAAAATCCTTCGTTAATTTTCTCCTTTGCTTTCTTGAAAACGAAACAAAACTTAATGAACTTAATCTCACGTGTTTTCTGATGAACACGTAATTCGGTTTTTTTTTATTAACATTTTTATTCAAAGACCATAAAGTCATATCAAAGTCATATTAAGTTTTAAAGATGATATTTTGGACTTCATTTCTTAATTCTTTCACCCATATTAGTTGATAGATGTACACAAATACACAATAGCGATATACTAMATTACAGTTTAGGTGGTGTCGTATACATTCAAAAAGTGCTCATTTTGTGTTGTAAAATATGGTTGACCCACTGACGTTAGTCTTTTCTATAAAAAAAAAAATAGACAAAATGGTATGAGAAGGTATAGATATATATATGTATATAATATACTCATCTTTACTCACCGTATTGGAATATTACGATTGTAATGAAAAAAGGCTACAAATACACACCTTTAATAAACCAAAGAAATATTTATTTTTTAAATATTTGTAGTTTAAAAACATATTAAAAAACATTTTAGGTAGTTATTGAGGCAAAGTATATTATTGAAAAATATATCTTTGAAACAGGATCTAAATGAAAAGGGCTAAACTGGCACTTACAAAGTYCACGTTCGATTTGTATAGCATTCGTCCACTCGGATGCAATCGGATATATCGTAATAACAATTATTAATGACATACATAAGTATACAGATATAAAGTACGAAATAATATCATCGCAATTAGCTAGTAACGATAATGYGAATATAAGTTTATTACCTACTATTAATATCGAACATAGTACGTTATAATATTAAAATAATATGGTATTAAATATTATATGTATGCCATAATACAGTCGTTTACTGCAAAGAACGTCAAATCATCATAATACATATACTTTAAATTTTATGAGACTTACGTAGTGAATTACGTCTTTCTTATAGCACACGCCGGTCACGAAAACTTAAAAAAAACACTCCAAATCGTGCGGGCTGTCTATAGTCATCGCACGAYGGAGTGGATATTTAATGTTAAATGATAATAATACGATACGTATTACTATTACACACATGTATTCATAGGATTACGTGGACAAACGCACGCGAGTATGTTTTAATATTATTTTTTCGTATTTTTTTTTTTTTTTTAATGAGCTGTTGAAGGACCCACCGCATGTCGTCCGTCGACCGGTAACGATATTACATCATGGCAAGACGGCTACATAATATTACACACATGCACGCACACACACACATACACCTGGAAGTAGGATAAGGCTAAAACACTCAGATCTTGGTGGGGATTGCAATTCTCCGTGCGTGGTGGTGGMAATAATAATATAATGTAATATTATTAATATGTAGGCGAGAAAAACGAGGAGAGAGAAATCGAGAACGAACTAAACTAAAGAGAATATAATATCGTTATAATATATTAATATTACCTACTAYGATAGTGAAAGTCACGGCGGCGGTGCCGAGGCCGACGACCGGCGCTCTATATATGATTATTATTATTTATGTTGACGAGACGCGCCGAGAACCTTACGATGTTCTACAATAATAGTTTAATACAATATAATATACCTACTGTTCATTTGTCTACAGTATGCCCTTGAAAAAATATTGTGTCGGAAAAAAAATTTTAAATGCTTTATGAATAATATATAACAAATATAAGCATCATAAAGTACCATAATATGACCGCGTTGAATCTGGTAAAAAAATTGTCTACAGAATGTAATAATAAAATAATTTATTAATCGAGAACAAACATGTTTTCCAGTTATATTTTTGGATAAAACCATAAAGCCAAAATATTTCAATACTATACCACTAGAAATGTATCTAACAGAAATAAAATAAATATGATTATAAAACAATTCATATATTATATAACTTAGTAAACGAAGAATATTTCAGTGGTATTTTCGTGGTTTTGATTGATGAGGGAGAAGAGGTTATAAAAATTGATTTTAAAGTTAGCTATATGATAGTAGCTTCTTTACCTCCCTAAAACCGAAAGGAAAATAGGATACATATTATTATTATTGTACTTATGATATGATAAGTAAGGCACAAGCGTTATAATACAGATCACTGATTAGATACAMTTACAAAAAAACATTTAAATATATAAAAAAAWTTAATTGTAATTTATAAGATTATGATATATACTAAAAATTTTCTTGGTTTTTTAAGGCATGAAATCTAGAAATTGTTCAGGATCGACAGGATCAATAAGCATCACCTCGTGTGGATAGGATAGCCCCAACTATATCACTCATTGATTAAAAAATAATAACGAAACTTACAGAATACCAACTTGTAATTGCATCAACTATAATAATAAGTCAATTTACTCACAATATTGAGTAACTAAAAAAAATTTTCCTAATTAGTCTAGCCGCTTGCCTATTTTTAATTTACACTTAGGTACTCTACAAGCTACAAMCATGAATAAACAGTTATTGTGCTATAATAATATTTTGGATAAAATGTAGAAATATTGCAGTATAGAGTTGTAAGTAGGTGTTGATAGAAACATTTTTAACTTCCTAAAAAGTGCTTGCCAAAAAAAAATAATAGATCATATTTTCGTTAAAATAATAGTTCAAATTATAAAAAATCTTCTCTTCTTGTTTTCAACAAACCTAATTGGTAATCAAACCATCACATACGAAAAAATCGAAAACGTAATATTGTTACGTTGTCATCGTTGTACATACTCGTATTAACACGCTGCATGATGTGCATTCCGTGTAGGTACAGCATATGCATACCAACTATCAAGTGCAAACGGAAGAACTGGACACGATTTAGTTGAAAAGTTACGATAGCTGGTTATGTATATAAGAATTTCGGTTACCTAAAATTGAACTGATCGGTAATTATATTCTATCGACAAGTGAAATTAACTAAATTTAACGCACTTAAATCTACATTTAGTAAATTAAAGTTTGATTTTCTTGCAGTGTATAAAATGGTTGTTTAGTAAAGTATTTAAGTTTAAACTATAATTTTATCACAAACCTGCAATATCTACTTATGTATTAGGCTACCTAATCTAATAATGTTTAAAAAAAATAAAATAATCAATTGAAATTAAATTTTATATCGACATACGAGACGTAGTGTGACACCCTCTTTTTAAGGGGTTTAAAATAGGCAATTTTAACTAAACTCAATCTTATATTTTTAATCATACTAAATGTTCAAATTAATTTATAAATAGTACCGTGTCGGCACCGTTGTTGGTTATTATATATTGCATAGTTAGTAAATATAAATTGAGTAAAAAACAGGTTCAAAACATCAACACAATAGATTTTAAAAAGTTAATGACGTTTTTTTGTATGAGTGATTTCAAAAAAAAAAAAACCGTATGTCACAAAAAAATATATTGTCTCATGTATAAATTTGGTTTTCAATTTTTAATTTAAATTAATAATTGTCCTTTTTCACGTTAAATGATTTTGTACAAACAATTATTGTCGATTTGCGGCGTCCTTTTAACATTTCGTGACTGACGACATCAAATTGTATTAATTTACATGATAGTTAATAGTTATAGTGTTACTGATATCCTATATAGCTGTAGCCTACCAATTATCGATCTGTTTGAGTGGTTTTTGCACGTTTTAAGAAAGAAAAAAAAATCAGGTTTTAGTTTACAATATTCTGTGAAGTATTTTAACAATGTCAGGAAGTGACCTTATTTACAAACAAGTATTCTCGACCGGACAATCATTAGAGAGAACGATCCACTGCTGGTAATGTAGTAATGGACAATGGCTTGAGGGTTCGCGATTATAAGCACGCGTGAGAYGKTTTTCGCGCGCGCAAAGTGAAGCGTAGGCGTGGGTGCGCGCGCACAACTGCAAAAGTATATGCATAACAATATTATTGTGTTACGCGGTCAGTGTGCATAAGCATAATGTAACGGTTACGCGGATGTCGTGTATAATATTATAATATCGTAATTAAAATATAACATTATATTGTTTAATCAATTTTTATTAATACGGTATTCTTCTGTATCATCGCGCGGTAAGAAAGCGWATACTATATAATATCCGTTAATGACTATGTAACATTTTTATTATCATTATAATATATGATACAACAACAATAATATGTAACATATCGTGAGTATATGTGGGTACCGCGGCCGCGCCTACCATTTTCCGGTCAATTATCGCTTTAATAATGTATATAGTCATCTACCGTAGGCACGGTAGTACCATACTTGTAGGCACTATTCTTGCACTCGTATACTTTAAGTTATGCCTAACTACCTCCCCACGATGCGCACCACGTTCGTGTCATAGCAATAGAGTGTTCGTCTCAGTCRCGTAATAGTATCCAATATTATCATTATTCGTCGGCGTCTCACGAAAAAAATTAATATGACGACGGAGTCTTCCGGTTAGATCGACGTCGCATGATATAGGTCTTKTCATACCATCACGGCGACTCGCACAGAACACTACACACGTCTTCTACATCAACTTATTGTTCACATAACTACATAAGAATGTTATTCTTCCTATTAACTTTAAAACCGGCTACGGACATACAGTACGTTATTGTTACAATGTGTTACTAGTTTGTTTTGTGGCATATTTTTTACACAATTCGGCAAACAACGAACTGTAATCGTTGATATTTTTATTTTATTTGAATTTCAAATAATATCGATATTATTATTAAACACGTGTCTTAAGATTATATTTATTACGTATAAACTGAACATAAATTAAATTATTTTTATTTTTAGTTTATTGTATTTTAAAACAAGTATTGTAAATATTCAATTTGATTATCAAATGCATCGTTCTGACTTCTGAAAAAAGTTATAAGGCTCTGGTTTTGCGAACATGAAATTGTAGCGCTCTAAAGTACAGATAAATCTTGTTTACATTATTTGTATTTATTTTTTCTCGTTTCTTTTACACAGTGACTTTGGCCACTCCGTAAACAACAAGCGAACATCGCCAACGACGAGCATTTGTCACTGCTTGGCCTGTTGTTACATTACCACGACCGTTACACCGAGCCTGCGACCACCRGTGTCCACGACTTCCAAGAGAAATAGCGGTAAGGCAGCCGTTAACACAAGTGTATCTTCCGAGTGCGAACCGCCATCTGAGGCTGCTGCGTTTGTCGCCTCCGCTTCCGCCGCGGCGTTCGTTTTGTTGGCCGCTCTGTTGGCCGTAGTGCTGTCTTCGGCCGCACTCTTGACCGTCGCGTCCATGGTGCCGATGGCCGACGCGGCTGCGCACGACATCCATCAACCACAAGCAACCGATTACATCAATTTGTGGCACCATAAGCAGCAGCAGGTTGGTGGTCAACGGATATCCGACAACAGCGGYGTGGTACGCGACGATGCGTCAAGACAGAAGAGGCAACTGTTCAACAAGAACACAAACCGTGAACCTGGAGTTGTGGCGTTGACGTTTTCGCTGATCGGCGGAGTGAGTATATTTTATATAAAACAATTATATACACAATTCGGTGCTTATTTTCACATTTCGCGAGTGAAAAATAGGTACCGAATGAACCCTCGACGGCCATATATAATATGACCTATAATATGCCCTAACCGCGGTGTCTGACGTCAGATGACGGACAGTAATTTGCCATGCCATTATCATTGTCTATAAAATAGCCGCGTCATGTTTTTAATTTGTAATGTTATATTATAATATATTGAACTGTTAAAAACAAAATTATCAATCTTTTAAATCAGTGATGTTATTAACTAGGTATATTATATATATTATTTAATGACGYAATGTCAATCATTAATTGCTAGAGCCTCAGAGGAATTTTGATGGCTGCAAACCGATTACCTCTCATCCGTAACGTATGAACTTTTAGTTTCGTTACTTTCTTGGTTCAATCATATATAAACTATAAAATATATACCTATAAATAGTATAGCGTAAACATAACTATTGATGGAATAAAACTAATACTTCTAAAATACTAACGGATAATTAATTTTTATGGTATCTTAAGTTTTAACTTTATGTTTATTGAAACTAGTAAATGCTCTATAGATATTTTATTTATTTGAACATTTTACTTGCCAATTTTACACTCGTTTTATGGATTTTTTATGTGTATTTAAAAAATAAAAATAAACATACCTTTTACTCCATTCCAAGCCTTTATAATATTATATCCATATATTTTAGATGAGCTTGTCCATCACTAAATTTGTACAATACCTATAATTAAACGATGACTGCAGACATTTTTACTCTCCAAAGTGTGGCAAAATAATGAATTAATCAATAAAAAATATTGGCATGAACATTAGAGGAGGGAGCATGATAGTGAGTTAGTATAATAGAGTATTTAATATTTATAATATGAGTTGAGAAGAGTGGTAGCCGTAAATTACCAGTCCACTAATCTACTTAACTAAACTTTAAAAATTGTAGTAAACTACTTGTTCAAATTTAGATTTTTATAGATTTAAATTCTAAATACTTCGAATAATATCTAAGTATGATATTTAAAATATATTTTATCATTCAAAATAGTAATATAATGTCTAATTAAAAAAAATTGTAATATAATATTGTAGTTACTTGTACTTTTTGTTTAATAGTAGGTATATTAAATTAATAATAATTATATAATTTAATATACCTACTTTTTATTCATAATATACCCCC